CTGGAGGTTGTCCAGTCTCTGATACGAGTGATTCCACTGGATGATCCACTAGGCCCTGCAGTGATCACACTTCTCCTGGACGAGTGTCCTCTACCCACCAAGGTATCAATCTGACCTTTAACCTAGAAAGTAATGGATGTGATCTTCCTTGGCCTTTCTGTTTGTGACTGCAGCTCTAATCAGAACAACAATCTTTGACTTGTTCTTTCCCCTTTTCTGTATTTTGATGACGCTCGCTCACATTTCTCTGCACATATGTTTCAGTTAAAAAGATGCTCGTTTATATTTGGAAACAGCTTTTTAAATCATTAGTTTCAATTTTCACTCAAGTCACACAGATTAAAGGAACTGCAGCTATTTTTGTAGATTTCTATTAATTAGAAATGATAAAAATGAAATCACAGTTATTGTTATCATTGTCCAGGACAGATTAATCTTGTGTAGAACAACAAGTGCTCATTCAGCTAAAACGTTTTTGTTTTTTCCCCTCTGATCCCCCCCCTCCCCCTTCACCCACAACCTTTTTTTTAACTTCTTTGAACAAATAAAATGTGCCTCCTGCTTCCATGATCAGAGATGTGGGGACAGAGGCCGTACTGCTACACTCTGAACAGAGTGAGCTCCTCACAGTATCCCACAGAAATGCAGTGAATCCAGTGGGACTTATATTTCACACAATTTCATGTAATAATAATAATAATGTGTACTTTATTGACCCCTGTGGGGAAATTCCTTCCTGCATTTAACCCATTCACTCAGTGAAGCAGTGGGCTGCCATTGGCCGCCTGGGTAGAAGTGTGTAGGGACGGTACCTTGCTCAGGGGTACCTCAGGGTAGCTGTTCAGGGGAATCGAACCCCTGACCTTCCGATCATGGGGCCCTAAGACTCCATCAGTACAATCTTAGAATAGAAATTGTGGGTGCTCCGCGCCAACTGTGCATGGAATAATCCTGGTTTATGTCCTTGTAGCATCATCTGTCAGGATCATGGAAGTGAAGCGTTCCAGCTTTCTGTGGTGCTTGACTTTTAGGTTGTTTGGAGAAACAATGAATCATCCTCGCTGAAGTGACTTCTCCTTTTCCGTTCAGGATGCTCTCCAGAAACTCTCGGACATGTTGAATCTGAGTTCAGCCATTGCACAACAAGACGCTCTAAACCCCGCTAAACACAGAAACACCACTGCGGTCCTGGGATGCCTGGCGGAGAAGCTAGCCGGTACAGTCCACAGTTCTGGTTTATTTGTGTTTAATTTTTGAGTCGCTGGCTTTGCTCTTTGGTATTTTTATGTTTTCAATAAACCTAAAGAAAGACCAAATGTTTGCTACGTTTGCCCTGTTTCTTACAACACCTTTTATTTTGTAGGATTGCCCAGTATCGGGTTGTTGAGCCCTGGAACCCTTGAATACCTTCTAGAGAGCCTGGTGAGCAGACCTTGACACGCGGTGTTGTTTAGTGTGTGGTATGCTGCACGAATGACACTGTTGCACATTGCCTACAATTTGCTGATGCCTTGTGGTCCGAGAGCTTTTATTATCCTTCAGACGGAGCTCTATAACACCGGGTATGAACAGTGAGAAAGCTTCAGGTTACTTAAAACGAAGTCTGGTAAGGTCCAATCACGTCGAGCAGCCAGGTTACAAATCCCCGGCAGAGACGGTGGACGACTATAAAGATGTGGACACTCTGCTACATCTGCTGGGATCGCTCTCGCTGTTTATTAGATAAGAGCTGCACGGTTTTCTGTGACGCTGCTTCACCAAGTTTTGTCAGAGCTATAAAGAAGTCTGTTGCAGTGCGCATTTCAGGCTCGTCTAACAACAGCAGCAAAACACATCTGCAGCATTTTCTGACAAAGACAACAGACGCAATATTGAAGTGGCCAAATTTAGTGGGAATAAGTTTCTGTGGACTGGTTGTATTTGTGCCGCTGCGAACATGAATGCGATCACGTCACTGCAGCGACTTTTTCGAAAGCACTCAAGGGAGCGTTAAGGTTGAATTATAACATGAAAGTTAAAGGTTTGTTTAATCGGTGAAATATGTGGAAAATGAATGTGTGATGTTTGTCGTTGTTCCTCCAGAGCTCCGAGGCCCACCCCACTGTCATGCTGTTTGCTCTCATCGCTTTGGAGAAGTTCTCTCAGACAAGTAGGTTCACTCACTATATGAAGCCAGTTTAAAAACGAAGAGTCACGATTAGGCTGGTGAAGTAAGACGTGTGTTATCAGGTAAATGAGCCGAGGAGCTGTAAACGGCTCTTCTGCTCCCCTGCTGTCGATGAGTGTTTGTGTGCAGAATTCAGATGAGTGCTTTTGTTTAGCAGTTTTATTACCTGAGCAATAACAGCACTAAAACCCACCACTTCTCTGTATTTCACGACTAGGACGTGATGGTCTCAGTTACAAATCTTTTCTTATAGTTTCTCTGAAATGTTAGCATTGAGCTGCCCCCTACATGTTTAATTGAAGTCACTGCATAAAGAACTGTGAGGTCTGTTTAGAGACAGGCTTTCATGTGATTCGTTTTGCTTCATTTCAAAAGGCTCACGTTTTATTGATGCTGTTTGTTCTCGAACATGTTTTCTCCCATTTGTGTTGTCAATTCTGCTCCGAGTGCTCCTGAGACGCGGGCGACTGTAGCTCGATGCTGTGCACAAACAGCACCGAAGCTGCTGATGCTCAGCTAATTGCGATCCTCCCGTGTAGGGATGTTTTTACACACAGCGGTGTTATGACGTATTCAGACGTTCTGGTTTCCTTTGCTTAGGCGAGAACAAGCTGACCGTGTCCGAGTCTTCGATCAGCGATCGTCTGGCTGTTCTGGAGTCTTGGGCAGAACATCCTGACTATCTAAAGAGGCAGGTTGGATTTTGTGCACAGTGGAGCCTCGACAACTTGTGTGAGTAGCCCCATGTTTCACCCGTTTCTTAGATGAGCCAATTATAATCCTCTGAGTCACCAACTAAAGAAAAGCCATCATTTTTCTCCATCTTCTCCATCCAGTCCTAAAGGACGGTCGTCAGTTCACTTACGAAAAAGTCAACCTCACGAATATCAACGCCATGCTGAACAGCAACGATGTTAGCGAGTACCTCAAGATCTCCCCGACTGGACTCGAGGTCAGTCTGCGTGTGAACGCAGATTAGATGCAGAGTTTTTATTGTAACTGAAAAGTCTGAATCTTTGCTCCTTCTGATCGCTCTTGTCTTCAGGCGCGATGTGACGCCTCATCCTTTGAGAGCGTGCGCTGTACATTCTGTGTGGATTCGGGCATTTGGTACTACGAGGTGACGGTTATTACATCGGGGGTGATGCAGATCGGATGGGCCACCAAGGACAGCAAGTTCCTAAACCATGTACTTGAACACTTTTACAGTTTGCCCTTAGCAAAGTGTTCTGAATCTGATTAGATATTCTGCTTTGGGTTGACTGCACCACCTAATGTGTGTGTGTGTGTGTGTGTGTGTGTTACAGGAAGGTTATGGAATAGGAGATGATGAATACTCGTGTGCGTACGATGGCTGCAGGCAGCTAATCTGGTACAACGCTCGCAGTAAACCTCACGCTCACCCCTGCTGGAAGGAGGGTACGCTTTACTGACACACACATGTAGTTATAATCAGGCATTGCTGCCATCTTTTTGCTAACTTTAAAGACGTTTTCAAATGTTCCCATTTTAAGAAATCTGTGTTATAATAACAGGCTTCTGAGTGTCAGTGTTTGGAAATAGCTTTGTTGTTTCGGCGTGACTGTTTTGTGATTTTTAGCACCCACGCTGTCACTGCCAACATTCAGGCTCTGGCCCACAGCCCACACAGATAACAGTAATAGCACGCCAAAGCTTCATTCTGCTGCGTGTGCGTTCCATTTAGGAGATGCCATCGGCTTCCTGTTGGATCTCAGCAAAAAGCAGATGATCTTTTATCTGAACGGACATCAGCTACCGCCAGAGAAACAGGTGTTCTCATCTGCCACGTAAGTCCACACAAAGTCTGTCATCTCCTCATGTTTTACTTCATCCTTTCCTCATTTTTCTCTTTATTTTGTTCTCCACATTTTCTCTCATTTATCACGTGTTTTCTTCCCCTCTGTGCCAGGTCCGGCTTCTTCGCGGCAGCCAGCTTCATGTCGTACCAGCAGTGTGAGTTTAACTTCGGGGCCAAGCCTTTCCGTCACCCACCTTCTGTCAAGTTCAGCACCTTCAATGACTTTGCTTCACTGCTGCCCAGTGAAAAGATCATCCTGCCCAGGTAAGACATGAAACAGGTCC